TTTTCACATGGCTTTTAGTTGTAGCGACAACAATTATAATTGTTTGCTTGCATGATGGATCTGATAACATATCTCGCTTACAAAATGTAATCTTGATTTGTCGATTCCATGTTAAATGTTCTTGGATCTGTTGTACGGTCCTTCGTTTACTCGCCGAACTGAGGTGGTAATTCGGTTATACAATAAGCAAAGAAAGGAAACAACTGCCTTGATATGGGCTCTGGGTGATTTCCAAAAAGATCCAAAGAGGACACCATATGCGAGAGCCGCTTATGGGACAAAAAACAGGCGACGGAAAAATGTGGAAAACATGTGGTGGCCCGCATTTAACCTTACGTTTAGCATGTGGTAGTGTTGAACGATATTGTAAAGGACTACTCATATGTGGAGAGCATATGGTGAATTGCAGAGCATTCGTGGACAGTTCGAGAGTAGTCAACGTTTCCCAATAGAAGATTCGTCATGTAAAATTGAAATTTTCAAAATTGGATCAGATTTAACACTATCCCAACTACTGATTGTAAGCGTTCGCGAATTTTTAAAGACATTCGTTAAGCCAGTGGTGGGCCTAACTTCACTGAATTGATTCTAGCACAGCTCTACTGAACTGACTCTGGTGACGCAAGAGCATATTGATGCAATATATATAAGGAACAAATTGTATGATCTCTAGATCGTCATACTGTACCAATATTTGACTGCTGATTTCATCGTCTTGATACGACAATGATCACTCATGAAGTTGGCATGATCAGAAATAACGGATTAATGCTCTATCTGAATACGTTTTTTGAAGTAATAATCACATTCAACGATAAAACAACTCAAAACAAAATTGTTTATTATCTATATCGGCATCATTCAAACGTGATTTTATTCGGCTACATCAATGGAATGGAATTATAATCGACGAACGCTGATAGCGCAAAACTGACATTAAGTGAATTTTGAATGACGAAGTAAGCAAAAAGGAGGTAGAGCCGCGAAAGATTTGAACTTGAGCATTGTGACAAAATTACTCTGAAACAATCATAATTATCTTCGAAATCACTGATGTCATAAAACAGTACAAGAGAACAAAATTTTTAACAATGTTAATGATTGTTGCTCAATCATCAATCCTATCAGAAGCGGGTGATAAGTTGCGAAGAGTCATGCGTTGCCTCATATATTGACAGAGTTTCCTGTAATTCATGTGCATTGCTCTTCTTGAATGAATTAAACTCCTTTGCTCAAAATGCCAAGGATAACGAGTTGTATGGCCAAATTCGAAATGAAAACTCGACTGCAGAGGCTGATACTTATACTGCACCAGCCATTGGCTTGACAAGCAATAATCAACTCGAAAGTGATGACGAGCTGTGGATTTATCCAGAAGTAATCGCTCAATTACGGTTGAGCAATGCATTATGTGTCAATATTGATAAATTTAACTTGCGGCTCTCGGCAAGAACCGCAACTTATGCACGCGTTCTCAAG